TTCAGATATGGGATGAAATCGGATAGAAATGAACGAGTTTAAGAGTTTTTAAGAGTTTAAGAGTTTTAAGAGTTTAAGAGTTTTTAAGAGTTTTAGTCAAATGCTTTATAATATAGTATAGATTAAGAGTTTAAGAGTTTTAAGAGTTTAAGAGTTTTTAAGAGTTTTAGTCAAATGCTTTATAATATAGTATAGATATGCATGTCAGGGTCATCCGTTAGCATGTTAAATGTGAGATTTTGAATAGGGCCTCCAAATTTTTGGGGCCTAATTTTACATATGTTGAGGACATTTTCATCAATTAGTGTAAAACTATAGCCCAAATTGTTTAGGTTCAAAATGTTAATTGTTTATGTTTAGATATAAATTATTCATGGTTTAGATTTAAGTTATGTTCAAATTGTTGATCGTTTAATATTAGCGTCCTTTTGTGCTTAACATATATGTATGTTGTTATCTCTTATGCAATGTAATCAAAAGTTTTAGATGTAATAGAGCTTCCAAAATAATTGGGACGTCCTCAGCCTTAATATATTAAGGGGTTGTTTACTTGCGGCTTAATTAGGCTTATTGGTCTATCTGGCTTATTCGCACAGTTTATTTGGGTTGTTTACTTACGGCTTATTCGCACAGAACATGGCTTAATCACACAGATATAAATAGTGTGTTGTCCTCATTCAGCCACAAAAATGACACTCCTACCCCTTATTTAAAGCATCGCCTTCTTCCCAAATGAGACACCCTATCGTCAACCTGTTTATGATTTTTTATTTTGATGTTTAATTAATTAATGTTAGGGGGTAAATCGGTCATTTATGTTATTCAAACTGTTGGTTCAGATAAAAAAAATAAACAACAACACTTATTTATCCAGACAGACTTATTTATCCGAACAAACAAATTTATCCATACAAGACTTAATAAAAAAATTGTTAAACAGCGGATAAGACATGAAGAAAAATCTAATGTTCACGTGGTCAACAAGAAATGAAATTCGAACACCATCACGAATTCAAATTATTGATGCTTCAACTTTTCATGATCCTCGTGATTAAATTAAATAGCATATTTTATATTAAATTAAACTCGAATACTTTTTATTATTTATTTAATTTTTTATGTAATCAGACATTTTTTTTTACGAAAATAAATAACATATTTTTATATTAAGATCGGGATGAAGAGGTAGAGGGTGGGAATATCAGAGAGGGTTAGAGAGTCGACGATTTGGTTCTCAATGCTAGCATGGAGAAGGGTTAGAGAGTCGGTCATTTCTTCGTTTTCAATTTGGATAAAAAGTTGATCATCGACAACTCTAACCAATCTTACATCGACCTTACCTCCAAAGATATCAATGTCAATGGACTTTTTTTTGACTCATTATTTGCTCTTAATTATTTAATTCTATAATTTAAAGAAAATAAAAACCCGTTACAATAAACTATGTGATACAGGGGTTAAGTCAAATGAGAGCTATAAATATATTTTAAATTTGTGAGAACCGATACAAACATATTTTTTACATGATATATTTTCATCAATACTAGGATTTAAGATATTACTTAACATATATTTGTTTTATAATATGATAGTTTTACTTTTACATGTATTTGTTTCACTTTGTGAATATATTTTTTTACTCGTATTTTTCATTACACTATGTGAACCAAAATTCTTTTCACATGTAATCTTTTCACAAGATGAACATAAACATATGTGAAACAATATCTTAAATCATAGGTTTTGCTCACGGTTTTGTAACATATTTGTGGTTCTCATTTGATTATCGTCCATGTGACGTATTTTGTATTAAAGAACATATGGAGCCGTGACTTGTGAAGTTGAGTGACTCCATGACTGAAATCTTTTACGTAAGATAGCAAACGGTTCGATATTTATTCTTTGCTTTATGAATCAGTAACATGGTTTTAATAAATATTTCTTTTTTTTTTAATTATGACGGCATTTAAAAAAATAAGAATAATTTTAGTTGTATTTTGTATAACAGGTATTTCGTGTAAGCAGACATTTGTAGAATTAATAAGAATAAGGTAGTGTCGTTTTCAAATTGAATAAACAAAAGAACATGATATATTAATATTCTAATAAATTAATTGACTGAAGTCGTATATATAAGTAAATAAAAGTTACAAACAAACATATGAGATCTTTAAGTGCTTAATTGTTTCAGTAAAAAAAACACGAGAATGTTACAGCCGAAGAAACCTAACCTGATTTAATGCGAGGTTGTACTGGTTTATAAATTAGACAACCAATAAAAGTATGGTCGGTTAGGGTTCTTATGGATTAGGCCTATCTTAAACCGAACCAACCTGCCAAACCCAAAACTGCAACTAATTTGTTTAAATACTTAGGACAATATTTGAATATTATGGAGTAAATAAACTCTATTCCAAAAAGTCAAAAAAAAAAACATGTTTGTCAAATAATTAAAGGGTTGTTTGGTAATTGCTGAATAATTTAGTGTAGAATGATTAAGTTGTCGGAATGATTAAGAGCCTTTCATGATACAGTGCAAAATAAAATATAATTGTTTGGTAATTATTTACAATGAAATTAGGGCGCTGAATGGTTAAGGGAGACTCATGATGCAAAATCATTCAGAAGATTTTAGAATCATTGAGAGGTAGACTTTTCTTTTGTCAAACAAGATTTACCTCTTAACAATTCAGATGTTAACTCTTGATGGAACTATTAAGAGGTAAACAAACAATCTCTAAGTCATTTTAATTTAATGTTCTTATCTTGATATGTATTTTGACACTTATGTATATACGTACAGTGTATAAACAGGTAATTATAAATTTAAATAACTGTAATATTCTTGAATGTTTAAGTATCATTTACTAATATTTAATTTTTTTTAAATTGTGACGTAATTTTATTTTTTAAATATTATAAATTAACTTAAGGGTCAAATTAAACCATTAGGTTAGAATTAAATATAAATCAAAACCATAAATATTAATTACTTGTAATACAAACAATGAATCTCGACACCTTGTGTCACCCGTGACGTCACATAATTCCCAAGTAAAAGAATTATCAAATCTTAGTCACAAAAAGTTTTCCAGAAAGGTTGAAGTCAAAACGTCTGCATTCATCAATTTTTAGAGATTTTAATTTTTATCTGTCAAACAAAAATAATACAGATAAATTTCTTGTTCTGGTTGTATTTTAATTACTTAAGAAAAACAAACAGATAATCTTTTAGTAACATAGCTATAATATCTTATTTTCTGTTTATATTTTTTTGGACAAATTTAATTTTATTATTAACGTCATAAATGACATACAACGATAAGTAGTAAATACTGACTAGAATTCTGATTTAAAACTTCATTCCAGAATAGCAAACAAAATTAATATAGAACATGACAAATCTAATTTAAATTTTACAAAACGTCACGTAAAACACAATCTAATAAAACAATATCAGCTAGAAATGAGGGCCAAGTACTGTACTCATCTTCTCTGTAGAAGCTCAACTATTTTGACAAATGAATCAAGATAATTTAATTTTGTTTATATTTATATATAATATCATATTTAAATAAGAATATTAAATATCGTGATAAAATAATAACATAATGTTTATATGTGAATCATTGAAAATTTCACTTGAAAATGCATTTGTGAATTCTTATGAATAATTTGCAACAGTGATTCACTATGCATTTTCAAACAATACTTTTTTGAAATTTTCAATTTTTTTCTTAGATTTTCACGATATTTAATCTTCTTATTTAAATTACCTGATTATATATATAATTGGGTTCTTGTAAAAATGTCATTTTTAAGAAATATAATAAACATATTATATTCGTGAATATGTATTTATATTATGTAAAGATTTGTAGGGTATACCGTCATAAAATATAACCAAACTTTTTCATAATACATGCCCAATTCTATTTTCTTCTAGAAGAAAGTAAACATAACGTTGGCAATGCCACCTCATCACTTAGCAAAGGATCAACAATTGGCAAATGGCACCCCTAAAACTAAAATCATAATATTCATTAAAATACCGTATATAAATTATAAGGGTGACGTCTGATTGATTTAAACTTGGACTCCAAAGATCAAAAGTATTTAAAAAATCTCATGTTCAAATTCAAGGAAGAATAAAAAATCATTTATGGCCACGAAACTTTAAATGCAATGACTCCCACAAAACGGGTGGTCCCTTTAGGATCAGTCGACTTGCATAATGAGTTGGATATTTAGATTAATTTTAAAAAACATGTACATTAATTTTTTCTTTAAGAAAAGAGGAAGTGAAATTAAACAAAACTTCTTGGTCAAAGCCTTATCAATTTCATTCCTTAAGCCGCCAAATGAGGTGGAATTGTAATTGATTCAAAGGCTTCCAATCCAATTCAAACACAAAACAAACATCCACAAAATTAAATATTGAAACCTTTGGAAGTCTCTAGACTTCAACCCAAACCCTTTAAAACCCCTTTCTTCTCTTATTTTTCATTCACCTTTTGGGGTTCTTTTCAATTCTTTCTCTCTCTACCACTTTCTCTCTCACACACAACACGCAAAACACACACTAACAACCACATGGGTACTTTGGTGGGACATGTTGCACCAGGGTTTGGTTTTCTTCTCATTGGTTTATGGCACCTTCTTAACCATATTAAACTTCACGTTCAAAGCCCCAAATCCTACCATTCTTTGCCATGGTTTCCGTCTTCCAAAATAAGGTATTTGGAACTTTTCTTGATCATGGTAGGTTGTTCCATGTCTATAGCCATGGAGTTGTTTATTGGGCCAGACCGTCATCAGCCGTTCGATACAGATGGCACAATCCCTTCTAATCACCTCCACAACTTTGAACACTCGTTCATTTCCATGATGTTTTTGGTTTATGCTGCTTTTGCAATCCTGTTAGACAAGTTTGTACCAAAAGCCCAATACGAGTTGACTCAATTGCTTGCAGGTGTTGCGTTTGGACAACAACTCCTCCTCTTCCATCTTCACTCTGCTGACCATATGGGTGTTGAAGGACAATATCATATGCTTTTACAAATACTCATTCTTATCTCTCTCATCACCACCCTTATGGGGATTGGCTACCAAAAGAGTTTTGTGGTTAGCTTCATAAGGTCTATTAGTATATTCTTCCAAGGTCTTTGGCTCATGGTCATGGGTTTCATGCTTTGGACAAGAAGCTTGATTCCTAAAGGTTGTTTCTTGAATTTGGAAGAGGGTCATCAGGTCGTCCGATGCCATGGGGATGAAGCCTTAGAACGTGCCAAGTCGCTAGTAAATATTCAATTTAGCTGGTATTTGATATGGGTTATGATTTTGGCCATGTCCCTTTATCTTGCCATGCATAAAATCTACGAGGGAAAAGTTGAGTACCAATCAATAACAAGGTACAATCAAGAACAAGCAGATCAAGATATCGAGGCTCAAAAGAAAAGCACACTTGACGAATCAAAGAGCTTTCTTCTAATGGATAAATCTTTTGATCCAATTGACATGGAAAGGTAAAAGGGGGATAAAAGAGACTTAAAGTTAATAGCTCATAATTGGTGGGTTTTAGGTGAATCGATGTGTTGATTTCATTTCTTCTTTTAAAGTAAGTAGTTTTAAAGCAAAACCAATGAAAAGAATGTGATTATATGGTTTGAAACGTAGTTTTAGCATCGAGGTTGGTTTGTTTTTTCTTTACTTTTTCAATAGAAGTTAACGGTTCATCTGGAACTAAGAATTTGTAAAGGGTTCCGTTATATATAAGTGAAAAATTTGAGATTGAATACTTGTTTTGACCTTTTAAACAGTCAGTTTTGACTTTGATTATCAAAGTTGATTTAAAATTATCTGATTTCTTGCAAGTTAGAATAAAAAATTATTTTATTACATGTATATCAATTACGTCATCCCTCTCTCTCTCTCTCTAATACCATGTAAAATTATCGTAATTTTTGTAAACATAAAGATTATATAGTTTCATGAAATAGAATAAATAATAAATAAATGGAATATGAATACAGTAGAGGCCATAGGTATCAGCTTAATGGAGTTGGTAGCGTTAGCCGTAGCCATAGCCATCATCAGTCGTCGTCGTCAACTCCAAATTTTTAATCAACTTTCAGCTTTTATAAAAAAAAATAGTTTCATTTAAAGCAGTAATAATATAAAGATTTAAAATTGTGAAGTGGGACCATTGACATTTCTACAATTGATCTACCTAAAGTTTGTTTTGATTTTTGTAATGTATAATGTATATGATATTGTATTATTATATGCTGTAAAACATTTACATATACTTATTGGTATTGGTTTTGGTGATTGGTCCTCCAACGGGTCCCTCGATCGGTTCAACATATCTTTATTAGTCCTTGTATTTGATGGGTTATGAAGCCATACACACAATGGAAATAAAATGCAACCACAACCATGGTCCATAATAAAATAGGATAGACCAGATGTTTTGAAATTTCCCTTTCGTTGTACTTGTAAAACTCAATGTTTGACTTTATCATAACGCCTCACTCTATTTAAATTTTTACACAATACATACATGAACTTATATTGATTATAGGACAAACTACAAGAAATAGCAACCTACTTTCATAATTTTTTTTTGTTCAATTTTGTATTGCAAGTCCTTCCACTTTGATTGAAATTTCATGTTTACGATTTTTGATCTTTTATTTCTTTATTTTAATACATATACAGGTAAAAAACAGTTCAAACCAAAAAAACAGTTCAAACCAAAAACCGGTTTTTGACAAAATTTAGAACCAAAACCAACACAAATAACGTCTTTATTTTAAAGATAGCAATATTAATTATATTATTAAAATATTAAATAATTTAATAAAATATTATTTCTAATCTCCTAATCATTTAGTTTAAAGATTTCTAAAATAAAAAAATAATTTCTTTCCTAAATAATTATTTTTTGATACTTCTTCAACTTGAAAAAATTTCATCCTCATTTTGTTACTTTCTTTATGACAAAACTCTTTAAAATTTATGTTTTAAAAATATCGGTCATAGATTTTTAATTTTTATTATAATTTGATTAGAAGTGTATTTGTACAATACAGTGAGATATATCTTAATTATAATATTTTTTTTTTGTTTTTGTCGATGTTATAAAACGGTTTTATGTGGTTTTGAAAAAACGATAAAGTTTTATTTTTGAATAAAATATAAACTTGTAAATATCATAAAACTTGGAAAAAATTATATAGATATTAATATCAAAGTTAACTATTTAAAATCTCTTATCTTTTATGTAATTTCTTTAATTCAATGTTTTATTATAATTTAATTTAGATGTAATAACAAAATAATTTATTTTTAATTTAATAATATAATTTTTTATAAAAATAATAATTAAATATTTTATTAAAACTTAATGATTATTCTAATTATATTTTAGATTTTTTTATATTTAAAATAAAATATTTGTATTTGACTATGTTTCAATGCAGTTAACTACATAAATTCATACATAAAACTTTAATAAATTATAGTTACACACAATTTATTTATAATATTAAATTTTAAATAATATGAATCAATAAATAATATCTCATGTATCAAAATATTTTAATGAGTTCTTATTGATTGTTTTTTTTAATGAAATTTGGTTGCTATCTTTATTCGGTTATGTGGTTTTGCACCCAAATCAAACCATTAATTTTAGTTGCCAGCACAAGAGTAGTGTGGCCGGTCCCTTGGTCCGTCGATTCCGACCTCTGATACACACACACACATTCACCCCTAGGCTGATAACACACGACGATCTGACGGTGTAATAATAGGTGATGGTGGTGGACGGTTGTTTACAAGCGGCGTAATATGGAAACTTCTGATTCAGATGAGCCTGAGAAAAAGCGTTCTCATCTGAACAACTCCGATATGGCACGTCACCCTAACCCTTCTCCGGAAAACGGCACTGTAAGTTCTAATTCTATCATAAATCTGTGTATCTGCTCATTCTTTTGTTTTTTGGCAACTTAACACATTCGTATGTTCACCGGGATTCATGATCATCAAAGAATTCGAGTACCATGTTTTAAGGTTTTGATAAGCCCAAAATTAGGGTTTCAAGTTACAGAGAATTAGGGCTTTCTGCTATATTGATATAAATAACACGGACACTGGACTCTGGTAGAAATAGTGAAGTTGGATTAAGGCTAAATGTTGAAGATTTGGGACATCCTTCCCTATTCAAGATTTTCTATATTGTCTTCAGTTCGAGGTTGAGGTTGAGATTGAGATAGAAAGGGTTCTTGGTGAATTGGAGTTAGGTGATTGTTGAAAGTGTGGGTTTTGTCTTTTAAATTAGAATCCTATCCCCACGCAACAAATTGTAGTACTTAATATCAGGGTTTCATATTATTGTATCAGGGTGATTCTTGCGTGTATATTTTAGGGCTTTCAGTGATTTTGATATATTTTGTACACACAGCAGCGGCTGACACAGAGATTGCAGTAGAAATAATAAAATCGAATAAAGGTTGATGATGTAGGGCCTCTTTCTTGTTTAGGATTCAAATTTTCTGTAACCAATTTAGTTTGAGATTCAAGAGTGAACAGGCTCTTCTTTGATTGGAGTCAGGGTATCAACTAAAACATGATTTCAAGGTTCTACATTTTGAAATTCTTGTGCAAGTGTGGGGTTGAGTCTTTTAAAGTAAGAATCTAATCCGACACAACAAATTATAGCATAATATTTAACAAGAAACAGTTATAAGATTGTAATCATATTATTCATATCAACTAATAATACATGTGGTCAATTGATCATGGGTGGATGAATTTACCTTTCATGGGTCCACTACTTCTAGCTATCACACTTGTTTCTTCAAGTCCTTAGAGGCTGAAACCAATTAAATCAATTCATGTTTCAAACAAATTAGCTCAGTTAGAAGTGGAGCCACATTGATTAAATTCCATTATCTGTTAGAGACTAGACTCTATTTACCAAGTAATAAGTCTGGGTGATTAATGTCTAGAGAAAAACAAATGAAATTGAAATGTTGTGGCATTGAGTTCACAGTAACAAAAGTGACACAAGCAAACTGTATTTGCAACCATTGAATCTGCTTTGACAAAAATATTAATGATAAGAATTGAAACAATCAGCAGGCACTCTGCACCATGAAACAGATGAAGTAAAATATGATGTCACCCAAGTTGCATACAAAAATCACACGAATCAATTAAGATACCTATCTGAGTGCAAATTAGCTGAAGTCTCTGCAAATTAGAATAAAAAAATTAGGAAAAATGATGTAAACCATACAATATTATGAACCGAGTACCAATTAAGCAAACCTTAAAAAAGATTTATATTTCTACTTTACAAGTTAACAAACTGTAAAAAGATTTAGTCACTTTTAAGGTATGTATGGAATACTACAAATAGGAAAAACTTCTATTGACTATCATAATAATAAGCAGCTTCATACCAACTTTGAATTTGACAGGTACTATGATTTATCTTAAAAAATAAAACATGGACTCTAATTATAAAGATCGTTCACATTCCGTACGATATTCTAAAAGATGGTATGGTACTCCACTCCACGTTTAACATCATTTAGTGTGCCATGCTCCATGTGTTCCACTCGGTTTGATGAACTTGATTTGCCTCACCATGTTCATACTTTATTGCTTGTTTGTTACTTAGTAAAGCATGCGTATTCTGTGGCATGAACTCTTTTCTTATGAGTAGATTGGTTTTTAAATCCAAGTTATATTGAAGCTATAGCTCCCAGATAGTTTGAGCTCACATGCACAGCTTGCGTCTGTAAGTAACCCACTGCTGAGGGGAAAGATGCCTAAAGTTTCTTTTGACATTGTAGGTTGATGCAACAGTGCTGCAGTATCAAAATCAGAAGCTCGTCCAGCAGTTAGATGTCCAGAAGCAGGAGTTACATGATCTGGAAAATAAAATTAAAGAATTAAGACAGGACCAAACTTCTTATGATGACTTTTTGATTACCATTAATCAGCTATGGAGTCAAGTAAGCTCTTATTCAAAGTTCCTTCTTTACAATTTGCATTGTCTAGTTATTGTCTGAACATCTCCTTTTTAGTTGGATGATGATTTAATTATCCTTGGAGTACGAGCGGGGGCAGGCCAAAGTGCCTTAGAAGCATTGCAGCGTGCAGATTCTTCCCGAGGTCTGTAATTTGGTCTACCAGTGGTTATCTTATTTGACCCTGAATTATCCAACTATTACTCATTGCAGCATGTTGACTCTTCCTGAGTTCTTTGCTTTGATCTACCACTATTGTCTATTTGACACCTAATTATCCGGCTATTACTTCTTCCACATAATTAAAACCTACCTATTTAATTTGTAGGTTCAATTCCATCATGTCCTGCAGAGGAAACATTCCTTTGCAGACTCCTGCAGTTGGATTCCATTGGAAGTAATGTAAGTGATGAGCGTCTCATATGTATCAAAGAAGCCCTTGCTTTGCGGCATTCATCTACTCTGGAACTAATGAAATTAATAGAAGATACTATTCAAGTACTGATGGCTAAAATTGAAAGCATCGGTCAACCTTTGCATGAAAATTCATCTGCAGAAGGTTGGTATTGAGACCTTAGTGGGAAGTCCACCGTTTCTTCCTTATCCACTAATTGTGTTCTATTACTTTCATAATCCGTACGTAGTAGTTTTACTATCACAAATGCCTACTGATGATTGACCTTGCTATGTCTCAGATGCAATTATTCAATCATATAAGATTGATGATTTGATGAAAGAGGAGGTTAAACATTTACATTTAATTATTGAAGCTCTCCATGTTAAGCACAAAGAATATGCTGAGATGATTCAGAATTATAGTCATAGCCATTCTGTGGATCAGTCCGAGATCAAACATATTGCAGGTTTTAGTAATTTTCATCAGTTTCCCTTCCTAGAAAACATAACATGCTTTGACAATTCATTGTTTGGGGTTCATATTAATCATGTTTATTTTATCTGCATATGCTGGTAAGGCGACGTGGAGGATAGCATGGCAGAGCTTGAAGAAAGTAGAAGAAAACTTGTAAATTTAAAGATGCAGAAGGATAGACTTTCCGGTGTGCAGCCTCCAGTTCCATTTGCTGTTAACGGAAGTATTTCAACTGAAAATACTGTAGACAAGACTATGGGATTACGTGATTTAAAGGACTCCATCGAGGAAGCAAAGGTATTTATCTTGTCCCTGGGCGATTATCTTCTCCCTCCATGTGCCCACACACTAAGTATTAAATTCTAATTGATGTAGATACTGGCATCTGATCGTCTTTCTGAGCTTCAAGAGGCACAAGAGGACAATTCTATCTTATCAAAACAGTTGCAAGATCTTCAGGTTGTAAGCACTTTCTTTTGCTTTTGTATATCGACTATTGTTTTGTTCTAACTTTTGTGTTTTGGCAGAACGAACTGAAGGATTCCAAGTATATTTACACATCCCGGCCATACACCTTACTTAACGATCAACTTCCATATTGGAAATCTGAAGTAGAACGGTTCAGGGTGCTGATAGATTCCTTGCAGGTATAGCTCGAGATGTTTACAAACGTTCTAAATCAAATGTTTTCCCCTTCCTGTCTATTTTAAAAATTTAGTTCCAGGCTGATAGGTCTTCGATTATACGGAAGGAGAAAGAGCTCAGCATAAAAACAGAGTCGGTAGATGCTCTGAGGAATCCTATTGACAATGCCGATTCTACTATTGAAGACCTAGAGCGCCAGCTTCAGCAATGCATCAATGAGAATAATGAGTTGGAAATTAAAATGGAAGAAGCTGTCCAAGATTCAGGTAAAGTTGGCCATAATAGTCAACTTCCTCTTCACAGTGTTATGTTTTCCAACCTATATTTGGATATGCTATTTTACTAAAAAGTGCAATTATTACAGAGAGGAAAGACATTAAAGCAGAGTTTCAGGTCATGGCCTCAGCTTTGTCCAAAGAAATTGGAATGATGAAATCACAGTTGAATCGTTGGAAAGAGACAGGGTGTGAATCCCTTTCCTTACAGGAGGAGGCCAAGTCGCTTAGAGATTTGGTGCACAAAAAGGTGAGATATTACTTCAGTGTTACCTTAATATGAGGCTCACTATTCGCTAAAAAGGCCGCCTTGAGTCACTTACCTACAGAAGCATAAGGAACGAGGATCTTTTTTCTTCTTATCTTCATTTATGTATTTTCTTCAACTTAAAATGTTCTTTTCTTGATTATCCATTCCATTCCCTTTTTGCCAACACTTCATATGTTACCTGGGCCATCCTCTCGGTACTTTTGGTTTCAGCTTATGGTCCACCCTCCTATATCTGACGTTCTGGACCAGGAGAATGGCTTGATGATATCGACACCTTATGAGTTGGACACCCTTGTACTGAAAATTGGTTTATAATAAAAATGCATCACCTATTATAGATTGTATATGGTAGGCCTAGTGACTTCTACTTTCTACTTGATAACTTGGATGAGAAGGACCCAACTTTCTCAGTTGACACGGGTTTGCAAACAGATTATTGGGTTTTTTAATTTCTTATATGCAACCGTGTTTTATTTTCTTCATCTGATTATTGCATTCTGTTAATTTCTTTAAGTGCTCTACAGAGCTTGAATTTTTTTCTCTACTTATAGGTCACCGAACATAAGAACTTGGCAGATGAATGTTCTGAGCAGACTGGGAAGATCAAGTCTCTGCAGGCCCTTGTAAGTTTTCTACTTTAGTTCTCATTCGGCTTTTATATTTAGTACAAAGTTTAATTAATTGGTTTCTAAGGTTTATGTGGTTGTCACTGAGAACTGTTAATGAATGATGTGAGCTTGTATTAGTGACCTATGCACAACCTGCTGCAGATTGAGAGGCTGCAGAAGGAAAAGCTAGAATCACAAATCTTTTTAGATATGCTTGGACAGCAGATATATGACAACAGGTATGGAATTGGGTTTGGGTGTCAGATATTCGGGAAGCACTTTTATTATGTCATGCATGAATGCATTTCTAAGAAAAGAGAATGTGATTTTGTATCTGTGTTTGGTCCCTCTAATTTGCTGCAATTATGTTTGATTTACATGCAAAGTAGCCTTAGAAATGGGAGTTATTATCACTTTGCGTTAAAGCAATGGGCTGCTACTATTGTCTCTTGGCAGACATTGTTAGTGGTCTTCTCTATTCTTTTTTTAAGAGAATGATCATTGTTTTGGGTAAGTTTGCTCTTTGGGATGGTTGATGCTCATGTCCTGCCTATCAAGAGTCATGTATAGGTTTTCTGTTAATTGATTAATTTAACCGGAAAAAGATCTTCAAGGGCAAGATCCATGTCCTTATTCTAATTGTTGATTAAGGATAGTTTGAATAGCAACAAATTGTCGAGCCAGCAGGGTGTAATATGTTAACACGTTTTTGGTCAGAGTGTAAACAGTGTTCATAACATCAGGTTGTTGTTTGTTGTATAAATGCAATCACTTCGTCAACGCTTTTGCGTAAAATATGCAGTTTCTTGTTCTTTTCGCTTAGCATCTAGTGTTGTCCATGGCAGCAATTCTTTTGATGTGGTATTGAAATTTTACTTCCTTGGGTACAAGGGACGTGATGGGAATCAGAGAATCTGAGAGGAGAGCTCATTCGCAAGCTGAAGTTCTGAAAAATGCTTTTGATGAACACGGTTTAGAATTGAGGATCAAAGCTGCTAAAGAAACTGAGGTTGCTTGCCAACAAAGATTGTCTGACGCTGAAGCTGAAATTGCTGATTTAAGGGCTAAACTGGATGATTCTGACAGGTTTGAGTTCTATACTGCCTATCTTGCACTTAACTTAAAGCGTATCTATAAACATCAAGTCATCTCTATTATCTTCAACTGTGTGAATTACTGATGAAATTTAGCTCATTGTGCCACATTACTATGTCTGAGGAGGGATTTCTCTGATGAAATTTAGTTGATGATGGAGAGTACTTTACCAAATTATGATGCTTTAAGTATAGTCTTTTGCATGTTTGATTTTATGTAGGCAGGATCTAGAAACTGTTTAAGTTGATCGGTTGTGTGTGATTCTGCAGTTCAAGCTTCCACCTTTAAATATTATACCATCTTGTGTGATAATTATTCCATATAATGTTCATCCGAACATTTTGCTCCTATGTACAGGGATGTTCTGGAACTTGCAGAGGCCATCAAAATTAAAGATGGAGAGGCAGAGTCTTATATTTCTGAAATTGAGGTATTTCGTTAGTAGTGCTATATGATCTATCTAGTGTTGTGTTCCTTTGTTGTTTATGCCAGTTTAGTCATATATTTGCCATCCTTTGATTTTCACTACTTGCAGACTATTGGTCAAGCCTATGAAGATATGCAGACACAAAACCAGCACTTGTTGCAGCAGGTGATGGAGAGGGATGATTACAATATCAAGGTTATTCTTTCTCTCATCTGCATATTAATAGTCTTTGATTTAATGATACTGTCCTATGTCGGAGTTAATTGTCCCTGACCTATGCTGTGGTCCCTTTGCTACAGCTGGTTTCGGAGAGTGTGAAGATGAAACAGTCACATAGTGCTCTAATTTCCGAAAAGCAAACACTAGATAAACAGCTTCAACAAGTGACTTCAGCAGTTGAATCACTAAAATCACGAATTTCACGTTCGGAAGAACAGGTATAGTTTTTATAGGCAGCTTTGGTTGTGTGGTTTCTGGTTATCCTTTTCTAACATAAAGATGTGTATATATATACATATATGTATATGTAGATGAGTGCTTGCATTACACATGCTTTGAAGTCTACCGAAGAAGATAGACATCTTGCAGTCAACCTGGAAAACAGCAAGTGGGAACTATCTAATGCCGATAAGGAATTGAAGTGCCTTAAATCGTTGCTTTCTTCTTCAGAGAAGGATTGTGACCAAATCCGCCGTAAGATGGAGGAAATTCAGGAGGAGTTGGAGAGTGAAAGGTATTATTTTTCCAATTTTTGAGAGTTGATTGATGGAATTAGGTGAAAGAGGTTTGTTTTACTGATGGAAGGGAAGTGTTTGTTAAAAGCAGAATGGACAGAAAGAAGGTGGATGAGGAGCTTAGTGAATTAAATATGAAGGTAGCAGAGTTGACAATGGGAAGTGGGGAAGCTGCAATTCAGAAACTCCAGGAGGAAATCAAGGATTGCAAGTCTATTCTCAAGTGTGGGGTTTGCTTTGATCGGCCGAAAGAGGTACGTAATCATGTTATAGTTCTCAAGTTTGAATGCATTTTGCGTGGTGGTGGTGGTGGTTGTAATATTTGTGACGCATCAGGTGGTGATCGTGAAGTGTTATCATCTATTTTGCAATCCATGCATCCAGAGGAATCTAGAGATCCGTCATCGGAAATGTCCTGGTTGTGGAATGGCGTTTGGGCAAAACGATGTTCGATTTGTCAAGATATGATGAAGACATTGTGTAGTTAGGTTTTATTTAGTCCGATTCTTAAGGAGTTGTAGTTGGTTTCTTGATATCCAGCTTACAAGAACGGTTTAACATCATTCTCCTTTAGCGAGGAAGAAAGGTTATGTACATGTAATTATTAGGAACTGCTGGATGTTGTTTAGTGGCAAAATCTTGACAAAGTGAATCTACTGGTGGTTGTGGTGGTTGGAGAATCTGGTGGTAAAGTTTGTTTCTGTAGTAATGTAATAGGAGGGTTGTAGTTGAATCTATGTTTATGATCCTAAAATTAGTAATGTATATTTAATTATTTTTGGTATAGTTCAATTTTGGTCTCTAGATGTTTTAATTTTCAACTGGTATTATCCCGAAACTTTAATAACTCGGATTTGATCCTTCATGTTTTTCAATTCCTTTTTGTTCGTTGCGAGTGTTTAGGTTACTCAAGTTATATCACAGGACCTAAAAAACAGTCGAGAAAATTCTTACCGGATTTAGACCATTGGAGCAAACATAACCTGCATTTTAGTGGTGGGTTGCTGTAAACATTTAAGTAGAATGGCAAATGTATAATTTTGAAACACATGAAATTTTATATTAAGCCAACTGCATAAAACTGGTACTTACGTACGTCAAAAGGCATTCTAAAGACTAGAAGCATGGGTCTTTTTCATCTTGGTATTGTTGTCTAAGATAAAAATGTATTCACCATGAATTTGCTCTTCTTTCTACGTCTCACATATTACAACTCAACAGAAAGGCCTATCACATATAAGAGTGTCTTTACAAGCGTTTTGCCAATATCAACCTCTTCATCATTTCACCCCAACAGATGCCATCAAGTCATCGTACTCGGGATCACTCTCTTGTTTTCTTGAATTTTGCGGCACGGCAGTTGGGGAAAACGGATCATATATATGTTGAGGTCCTGATGGCCTACCCAAAGAATGCGGCGCGACATTGCCACGGAACTGCTGATTTGAAGGACCCATCAAGTTCTGGCGACGGAATCCCATGGATGGATGATTTTGTGGAGCCTGTCCGAAGTTTCTAGGCCTGGGTGGGAAAGGACCGGCTGGTGGACCTGGACCAGGACCAGGACCAGGACCAGGACCAAACTGCCTAGGTCCCATTTGAGTGGTTGGCGGTCGTGGACCATGCCCTGGAAAAACTGGTTGTCTGTCTGATGGGGGAGGCATAGTTGATGGACCTTGATGTTGACCCATTTGATGACTATTCTGTGGCCTATGGAAGCCTTGCATGATAGGTGGTGGTGCTCCAAGATTGTTCATTCCAGGTCGAAACATAGGTGACTGAGGCGGAGGTACTTGTGGATTCCGGGGAGGCATAAATTGGGACCCGAGATGGTTTCCTGGCCTAGGAACCTGTTGAGAGGAGGGGGTTTGTGCATGATGGGTTTGAAAAGTGAAATCATTAGAACTGGGCTGCTGTGGTCTTAAGGCTGTTATGGGCGGGGGCCTTATAGATGGAGATGGTATTGACGTGGATGTAGTTGATGAGGGAAACCATGAACTGGGTGCTGGGTTAGGTGCCCCAGTCTGAGGCCTGACTGGTAGTGGTGGGGCAACCGGAGGCAGAGAGGCAGATGGACGAAAAGGTGAAGGTTCACCTCCTGATGTAGCACTTGGTTGTGAAGCCACGACAAATGATGCCTGAGGACGGACCATTGGTTGCATCATCTGTGGCATGTTTGGACCCAGAGTTCCAGGAGAGCCAGCCGGTGGTTGGGACCAGCCAGCAGAGGTCAAAGGTCGTTCAGGAAATGTATAAGGGGGAGCAGACCGAGGAATAGGTGACCCCATTGGCCGCATATTCTGATTTGGTCCAGTTGAAGTAGGCGGGGCTGGAAAATTCGGTTGACCTGGTGCAATCTGCAGTGGTGGCAAAGAAGGATTCCTAGGTGGACCAGCATAACCCATATTTGGCACCTGAAACTGTGGTTGGGATGGAACAAGAGAAGGATGGTTGGGAACTGAACCAAATGCTCTCGACATAATAGTCCGTGGACCAAATGATGGTGGCATGACTGCAGAATTTGAAGGGGACGATGACACTTGCATAGGGTTGCTTAGCATTGGAACCGATAAATTTGGAAAGGGAGGGGGAATGAAAGATTGGCCAGTTGGAAGCCATTGGTTAGGGTATGGCTGAAACTGAGCTGATGCTGGTGCTGGTACCGGTGCTTGTCCAGATCCTGTAAATGCCTGAGCCACTCCTTGGTTTACAAGCACAGGAGAGATGGAATAGGAAGGTACATCTTGGCCGAGACTAACCGCATTTGGATTATCTCCAGGCCCTGCATCCTTTGTAGAAATAGCAACAGTGTTTGCCTAATGACGAAAGGTCTGATGATAAGAAGGATGAAACTAATAACAGCCATCGGTATCAACTATAAAATTTAAACAACTTACTAAAACTGGGGTGACCAGTAACTCGATCAGAGAAACTGCAGCATCAACCTTCTCGTAAGTTTCAGCAGTGACAAGAACAGACAACTCTTCACAATCACCATGAGCTTTGTTTCCATCCGATGAAGTTATCTCAATCTACTTGTAACAAGAGAAGAGTTAAATAAAGATGAATCTTAAACCTCTGTGTCGCATCTCACAAAAATTAACAACTTGAATTGAAAAACTTGTAGACCTGCCCACCAGCAGATTGCAGAGAAAAGGATAATGGTTTGAAAAGCAAAAAGTGGTGGAACATGTTTACTAATAAGAACATGGCACAAGGTACTGGTTCACAAAAATTACCTCTTTCCTTGTATCTGCTTTGGTACCATAAACTCGTATTTTCGCTCCAGTTTCCTAATGCAGGAATTGAAACAAGGTTTTATGTAAAATTGGTGGAGCACTCAGCCTTGACATAGAATTAGTGAGCGTAACTGACCTTTTCCAATCGTTTTTGAGTGTCACCCGCAGGTCCAAATATTATCCCAACAAAATTGCGTCCAGGATATTCTTTGATCTATGAGGCAAAAGATACAAGAGCTCAAATAAGAAATTCGAACTTTGGTCTAAAGACGTATCTACATGTAATTTTGTTATTTAATGAGCACCAAATTATGCTAAAAGGCTATGATCCTCTTGCATCGACACACCATTCCAAGACCTAAAGAGAGAACATAGGGCAGAAAAAAGAACTCGTTTCATATTCAAAAGTGAACTCACGGGGATTGCAACTTTAGCCTCTTTTAGCAATGGCTTGTAATCAGCAGGGGCCTTGTAGCTTGGATTCAACTTCAGTATTTCTCCTGCCAATCATCAAAAACAACCTAAGAATTCATGTATATCATGTACAAACACTAATGTAATAGCCTCGAACCTTTAGGCATTTAGACTAAACGTACCAATAACCTCGCGCCTTTCAAGTTCCAACAACTCTAAGTTCTGCACCAACAAACTTTATTTTTAGTGCTTTTTAAGTGGGAACTTCAATAACATGAAGACTAACAAAAAGAAGCTTAACCTCAATATTTCGGCGGTCTGCAGACTGTTGAGCTGCACCATGAGCTACTGATGAATCATGATCATCCTTGGTCTCCATAATTCCCGACTTTAGTTGTTGTGTAATTTGATCCAGTCTAGTCTGCTCAAATATTGTACCACGACAGAGGCAGTGATATTATTAAGCTGCATCAAGATATGGGACTCCATGCAAATCATTCACAGACGACAGACAGACATTTTAGCACCCAAAAGAAAGGGGCTATAAATGTCTCGAAATCAAGAAAGATAATTCTATCTATATAGCCAAAGGTTATAGATGAAAAATTCAACTTCAGTGACAACAATATGGGCATAATAACACTAAAATCACATAAGAAAACACGAAACGTAGAGGAAAAGAACAACAAATTATATGATTTTTAAAGGAAACTCTTGAAGAACCTGATATGCCGAAGCTCTTCCCTTTCTAACAAACGCATCCTGTGTCAAATCAGGGCCCCATTTTGTTTTTCTCAGCACCGGTTTTGTACTTTCTTCATTCTCCACGTCAGTGCCTCCTAGTTTTTTACTTCCCCGGAAAATGGGCACTAAGGAACCTGATAGCTTGTTTTTTGGTATTACAAATCCAGATTTTTTTGTAAACAAAGAAACTTTTGGGCTCACTGTTGGTGATGCAGTAGCTGTTAGAGCAGTCTGAATGGTGTCCTCCATTCCAGATATTGGTTGAACCTTTGTACTCATCTTGCTCTTGTGCGCATTATCAAATCCTTTCACATTAACAGAAATGCATATAATGGTCAGATGCTCAATATGAAGCAAAAGAAAATGCTTCAAGCACATACTCAAAATTCAAAACCCTCGTTTGAACTTAACACAATCTGTAACATATTAGAAAAAACCCAACAGATAATTTCTGGGAAGGTCAGTTGCATGAGTTCTTCACTTGATCCACAACACGAAAAGTTCAAAATTTTCAATAATCATCAAAGGTTTAAATTTAGAATTGCGTGGCTAACTTAATTGTGGAACCCAAAAGCAAACTGACTACATAATTTACATCAGATTCGATCCTCCATTTCGACTAAGAAAGATGTTATCAATGGCCGTTGTTTTGCTTTACTACATCACGCACTTGAATGGCAACAAATAAGTAGGGTATCAATCACTGTTATTTCTCTTTATTACACTGTGGCCTTGGATGGCAACAAACAAGTATTCATTTAAGACGACCAACATAAAAGGACTGTGAAAGAAAACAGGTGAGCACAAAGCTGTATATTATCAAAACTTCAGGGGTTTAGAAGGATTTATCAGACTGAAAAGCACAAAATAAAAATCTTAACATGATCAACTGCTAAAAGATTGGCACAATGTCCAGCGAACATTTTGCTATAACCAGTGCAATTATGCATGATAGAGCAAATAAATTGGAGAAAACTATTACCACCGCACTGGTCGTAGCCAAATATATGCTGGAAACTGCGGCACCTTTAACGGAACAGTAACAACGCAGTCTCAACAGAACTGTGTGCTTTTTCCAACACCAGCAAACCCTTAAAACACAAAACTCATTCGAATGTATTTGACACACATCGCCAATACTTATCAAACCACAAAAACCAATATCTACGCATAATAATTGGATTAAACAGAAAGATAAGCAAGTAAGTGATAACAAATTTAGAGCACTACATTTGGAAATCATGGAAAAAATCATGCCCTAGTTTTGACAAGTAAACTCCCACAATTTAACATCTACATTCGAATTGGAAAGAGAGCATACTTGTCAGAAATGCTTATTCCATGAAGAACATCAGAGATCCGGTTGCAGCTCCTTTCCCTCTGGTCTGAAGCTCTCTCAAAGTCCCAGTTTTGTTCTCGTCGAGAAGTGAGGCGGGTGATCAGCTGATGTTTATACTCGACCCGATCGGGTCTGCAATGGGTTATATGGTTTTGGGCTAACATGATATTTGGGCCTGGACTTTTCTGCAGGCCCATTTAGTAAAAAGCTTACTTTTAAAAGTTCTCACTTTTACTAACAATTTTTGCCATTAAAATATCATTATATGTAACAATCTTACTCGGTTAGATTTTCGTTATAGGATAAGATATGTAACCCTCGTCATATTAATTCAATAAAATAAGTGATTCAGTAAACATTTATCTGATGAACGACTCATACATTTCTATAAAATTATTTTTAAGACTGTAAAAACTTTTTTAAGGCCTTGTTTGTTTTTTTATTTTCAACTCTTAATTATCACTTTTGTCTGATTTATTCAGACGTTTTGTAATCCAGACTATATTTTTTAAAGTCTCTTATCACTTAATAGAGTCTGAATAAATAAGAGGTAAACTATTATCTTAATTCCTCTTGTTTCCTTTTTTCTTTGATTTTCTTTTGGCTATTGCTTCTTTCTCCATCAATAATGTCACCGTCCTTTCATCACCCATATGAAATGCACACCCCACCCGTCTCTCTCTCTCTCTCTCTCTCTCTCTCTCTCTATATATATATATATATATATATAATTTATGTATGTATAGGTTAACTTAGAAGATTAATATGAAAGAAGAACTTTCATCAGCGATTTATTCTCTATCAAAAGTATCGATCTTTCCGCAAACAAATTGGCGACATTCCCGTTAGCATCGAAAGTCTGAAAGGTATCCAAAAGGTTCTTATTGTGTTCCATCTGCTAAACAACTGTTAAGATGAATTTCGGCAATGGAAATTTTATGAAACTCAAGAGAATTTTGCATTTGCACCTGATTTTACAAAAACAAACTATTGATTAAGATTCCGGACTTAGACAATTGTCAGTTTATAAAAACAAACAGTCTTATACTTATTGATTCAGATTTCAGATTTCAGCACCACCTCTTATTAATCAAAAGTGAAATAAGAATTCAGACTTCAACACCTCTTAAAAAACAAACGTCACCTAAGTGTTTATCTGATTTGGTCGTATTAAAATCGATTTTTAATGTTTGGTTAACTAACTTTTATTTGATTATCTATAGGTCAAAAAATGGGTTTGGTATTAAAAATAACATAACAAGAATTATTTATATAAATTACGTTTTTAGTCCTCATGGCTTGTTAAAAATTACGATTTCCATCCCTGTGATTAACAAATTGTGATTTTCGTTCTTATAATTTGTAATTCATTGTTATTTTTCGTCTAACTGACTTGATCATTTTTTGAAAATACATATTTTGAAGATTCTTCACTTTCTTTGAATGTATTGCTGAATGAGTTATTATCAAAGTCTGTACACCCATTCTCTGAATTTTCTTCTCTTTCCTCATCAGATTCTGAATCAAAATTCAACTGTCTTGCAATATTAGGAAAGATTTCACCATTAGAAGTATCACTATCGACAATCTCTTTTGTGTCATTCAATCTTCGTCCTCTCGAGCAAACCTTTGCATGCCTCTGTTACCTTCCAACGGGTTTTAAAGATAAAACTCCTTTCTTTATTGGCCCATAAATTGACCACATTACTAATGGAATCAAAACGATCGTTGGATTGATCAGAAGTCTTGAAACACATCTTAACACTGAGTTTTATCAGGTTCTTCAAACATCAATTATTTCTTGAATATAATTTGAACACAAGTTCCTCTAGCTTTGGAAACTTGATCCCTTTCATTTCAATAGGGTCTCTGACATATTGTTCAGAAAAACGGTCTTTAAACTCTTGAAGACAACCATAAAGTCTATTTATCATATCCCCAACAAAAAATTCATCCACAACTAAACCAATCTTCCTTAGAAAATTCTTAAACTTTTGAGACAGGGACAAGCTTTCATAAATCAAAAACCAATAAAATACTTCAACATATACACTTGTTCGTCGTCTATTTGTAAAAGTTACGAAACTACCCCTCAAAGCCGCAAATCTTGACCCTTTTTTTAGATGAACGGATACGATCACTTCTCTGCTTCTCGCACATTTAATAGTTCTCAAATGAACCTATGGCTCTATATATATAAGGAAACAAAACATATAAGTCAAACATTCAGAGCTCAACTCCTAACCATCTCATTCTCATTCTCGTTCTCCTTCCACCATCACTTAATATCACATTGTTGTTTTTCGCACCTCCTTCAAAAACAAAACATCCACAAAAACCGATATCATTAATAATCGTATATGTAACAAAAATAAAAACCAAAACCACTTATCTTTTTGGACAATTGAATTTTCAGCAATAATAAAATTTCTTAAAAGATGGTCTTAACCAATCTCACCCAAATTACAGGGACCTACACATATTAGTACAGTATATAGGGGGCCCCGGCCAGAACCACAATTTTGACTTGGATTGTGATAAATTAATTACTTGTTTGCTCAAAATAACTGAACTTACGTGGCCAGTCGGGTATGTTTGTAAGGTTAATTCAATAAACTAAACTCCCATATACTCGTGAATTTATATATCAAAAAGAATTATCGATTAGGGACGTCTTGTCATCTGTATCTTAAGAAGAAAACGTTGACTATCTGGTAATGCCTTTACATGATCCTTTTTAATAGCTTAGCATCTTACGAGCCTGGTTATAGATGCCAAAGACATGTATATAATTATCCAGTAAGTTTCATTTATTAATGAGTTTTGATTATCGGTAACTATTTAATGGCACCGATTAGCAATACATCATCCTCAACAATTAATTGATGTCTATTTGATTGAGTGGTTCTTAACAACAATGATTAATATGAGGTTTTATTAGGTCTTCTATAGTTGACCATAACATAACATCCAATTTTATGGTCATATTATTGTAGATTGAAAAATAGTCACACATTTTTAACATTTGTCTTGTTTATTTTCGGTCTTTTTTTAGCTGTGAACTGGAAAATGAAGACTGACCGAAATTCATTTATTTTATTAGCCAACTAATTAATTAATTACATCTATAGAAAATTATGAATCACATGTTGTGGTACGAATGTATTAATAAACCATTGGTGAATAAATAGTTTATAAAAGATAATTAATTTAAAATTGCAGATATGTTTGTTTATTCAATTGTTTAAGCATATTTGATCTGTATGGTATATATGCCTGCCTATACAATCTTTTATTTATATTTGTGTTCTGTGTATTATTGTATGAGCAACTTATATCTAAATTATCTATGATTCAAATTATGTAATCGTTCATATTTTACGAAATTTACTTGTATCCTACAATCCAGTTATGCATGAAAATCTGGTTTGTATCTATAGTTTAAATGGTCATTGGTCCAATAATATTTCAGTTACTATCTGAGTTGTCGGTAGAGCCTGGTCTCCCAATAAATCATGGGTTCAAATCTCATCAAAGATTTGCAATTTGTGTGAGTATTTTTCGTATATAAATATAACAATGTACCCGCACAATCTAGTGCAGTTCAATCTCGTTTCCGAAGCTGGGAATTTGAACTCTCAGGTGTCGTTTACCAAACGCTTACCCAAGTAAGCGCTTATCAAGTCACTTTACTTTACCAGATGAATATGATAAGGACTAAAAATCTTACCCGGTAAGAACGAAGACAAGAATCGAGAGTCTTACTCAATAAGTGAAGGCAAAAATGTGATTAAATACTCCATTAAGACAATAATAAAACGATTATTAAACAAATTTGTTATAATAAAATTATAATATTTCAATTTTTAAAAAGTAGACAAGTCTTGGATCCCTTTTTCTTTAGATCCAAATATAAACTCAATTATTTTACTTTTCAGTTTTATTTAAATACCTCAAAAAAAATTAATTCAATTATTCAAATACAGGGAATATGATACCCTTTCGTTTGGAATTTTGATAAAAGTCAAAAAATAAATTGAAAATAAAAATAAAAATAAAAAATGAATACCTAACCCTTCTTTGTCGTTAGGTAAACTTCGAGAACACTTGCCGGCACAATTTTTAAAATTAAATATAAAAACTTGAATTTCATTAATTAGAATTTTAATGTAATTAAATATACAAAACATTGAAACTAAATTTAATTATTAATCATTTATAAAAAATGACATTTAAATAAATTAACCAATAATAAATCAATATATTTTGCCATCATGTCACCGTTCAAAAAGTCCAATCATAATTTATCCGGTTAACACAACCTTAATATTTAATCAATTATGTGTTAAAAACTAGAATAGATTATTTTGATTTGGTTATGAAAATGATATTTAGGTTTTATTTATTACGTATATTACCTTGTGATATGCATTTTTACAGATTTGGTCCCTGACCCAAGGGTGTGTCCATTAGGTCCGTTAAATTTGAGGACAAATTGGTCCTTTTGCTATTTTTCTCTATTTTATTATTTTTGTAATTTAATCGGGGGCCAAAATGTAAATAATAAAACTTGAAGGGTCGTACACTTTAAATGTTGGAGGGCCAAAATCAAACATCGTCATCTTCTTCTCCTACCTCTTGTCGTCGGTCACTGTGGCCTCCCGCAATCCAACCCCTCTCTTTTGCACCTTCCACCCACCATCTCTCTTTCACTTTTCCTTCTCACGCACTCATTTGCAACGATGACCCTCCCCCAACACATGGTTGCTCCGATGAATCCATCCCCCTCAAAATCTCAAATCTAGACCTCCCCGATCCAAAGAGTTCATGCAACTGCCTACTTCGCTAACACCACACACACACACACACACACATATATATATATATACATATACCCACGCATATATAGAGAGAGAGTAAATACACAATGGAGGTTCATAGCCATCCCCCTTTCTCGTCCCCGTATCCCCCACCATCGTAGCCAACAAGCGTCTCTTAATTACCCTATTGTTTGTTTAACAGTAGTTATACACATGACGATAGATAGAAGATGTAGGTGAGAGATTGTGGTTACAGTGGAGAGGGAGATGTCGGTTGAGGTTTTTTTTGGGGGGGGGGAGAGAGAGAGAGACGTGAGAGGAGTTGAGAAATGGACGGGAGAAAAAAGTGGTGGTTGGAGGTGTCTTGGTGGTGGAACGTGATGGGTGGAGATTGCCATGCCGGAGATCGGATCCACAGTAACGGAAAGTCGGAAAGACATCCCATGCAAACGTTGGGTTCACGGTTGACCGTGAACGTAGTGGAGGTGGAGAGTTGTTTTTGTTTTTTCACCTGATATTCCATGTGGCATCATTTTATTGGTGGTACTAAAAATACTAAAAGATAATAAAATTAATGGAGGGAATAAATGAACATTAAGAACAGTAACCAAGACCTATATATAATAAATAAAGTGTAAAGATAAATAAATATAAGGGTGGTGATGGGTTGAGCTTTGATTTTAAAGTTCAAAAACGTTTGAAAGTTATAGGTTTAAATCAATGATAAATAAAAACCCACAAACTACAAGGACCAAATTCATAAATTAAGGGTTGTTTGTTTATCTCTTAATAGTTTCATTAAGAGGCAATTTTTGAATTGTTAAGAGGTAAATCTTGTTGGTTCTAAAACTTTCTGAATAATTTTGTATCATGGATCTCCCTTAACCATTAAGAGCCCTAATTAATTACATACAATTATCAAACAATTATATTTCATTTTATATTATAGCATGAGAGCCTTTTAATCATTCTGACCACTTAATTATTCTACACCAAAACATTCAGCAATGGTCAAATAACCCCTTAGTCTAAAAACTTATTATACTAATTACGTCATGGGTGGCGGCTTTGAAGTTTCAAGGCTATTAGCACACTCGAATACAAGGACATTCACCATGTGCCCAGTGCCCTGTTTCAGCATATTCCTTATCCATTGGAATTTTTAATCTACATCTAATCTCATCAAATCTAATTTTTTAATAAATACATATGTCATATATATTTCATTTTAAAAAAATATGATAAGAATGCATCTCATGAATAATCATTGGACATTTATCAAATTAAATGTAAATAGTTTGAAATATAGAGTTGGGTTGTATAAGTTTCACATCTTACGAAATTTCTTTTCTATACGTTGTTAGATTTGGTCAATAAAATATGTTTAAGATAAAAATGAAACCTCAAAATTAAATTTTGATTTACGAATTGTGAGCCTTAAAGACGAACTGGTCAGCGAGCCACTGGTCGTTGGGTAGGTCGTCACGACCTATGACATGATCCTGGATCACCATAGCAGGTCACACGGTAAGTCAGTTGGGTAGCAAGGCGAAGCTCGCAAACAATATCGTCGCGACAAGACAATGGGAGCCCAATTAGTTTCCTTGGTAGGTCGTATTGACCGAGCTTTGACTCTAAAATGAGAGCTATCCAAGGTTGTCATACAACTACTGAGTTGTACAAGTATTATGTAAATAATATACCTACTTAAACACATGAATGGTGTCGGTGTAGATTGTATGTAGGGTTGGAGCTAGAAAAATCATTGAGGGTTGTCTTTCTAAATAAAGTCAAAATGCATCAAAATGAAACAAATTTTAGGTGGCGTATGTTTTTTAAAAGATGATAAAGTCTAAAGTCTGATTTCACTTCTGATTTATAAGAAGTGGTCCTGAAGTCTGAAAGCTTGATCAGTAAGATTGTTTGTTTTTACTTCTGAAGTCTGAATCGGTCAAATTACTGCAAAAATATATACGATAAATAGTTTTTTTTACAAAAGTATTAAAGATAAATAGTTTTTGCTAACAAATCTCTTTCAACTCCCAAAATATGAACCATTTGGGAGAGGGCAGATTAGGGTTAAGAGGTATTAAGAGATACATTTACCATTTAAAATTTCAAAGAACATTTAAAGCATTTAAGCTCTTATTTTAAAAATAAAACAAACGTTCTTAAATATCTAAACATCTGAACAAATTAGATTTCACAGGTATTAAAAGATAATTAAAAAACAAAAAAAAACAAACAGACCCATAGTTTGGTTCCTATTTAGTAATGTAATGAATTTTGTTTCCAATCATTGTTACAACGTTTTGAATATTTCTATTTTGTACCTCTATTGACACGTAATCTACTGATCTTGACGTGGATACCCGTTTATGAAATATTTACAAAAGAGTTACGATGAAGTGGACACAAAATTAGACATTCACGTTATCAAATGTTATGTTAGATAGAAAAATATTTAATTATTCAAAAGTGGTTATTTTGATCTTTAATACATAAATTAACATACCATATGTTTATTAATATTATTATAAACATTTTAATTCACATTATAAAAAAAAATATAAATATAAAAAATTATTGGTTAAATTGTATTTAGTAAACAATATTTTATTTTGGCGGGCAACTATTGTTGCCTTTATATAGAATCTCCAGGCCCTTTCAAGTCTTCACCATCACAACCAATCTGCCTACTCACTACATACATCAGTGACAGTGATGGCACCTTCCCAAATGTCTCTCCTCATTCTCGCCCTTCTCGCACTCGTCTCTTCAACCCCTGTAATCTCTGCCTACCCGCCGACCATCTATGAAGCTCTGGAGCTATTCGGACTTCCTGTTGGTCTCTTGCCTGATTCCGTCACATCCTACACTTTCGATCCCACTGATAACAGCTTCGTTGTTGAACTTAAGAAACCCTGTTATATCAAGTTTGATTACCTTGTTTACTTCAAAACTAAGATCACTGGAAAGATCAATTCCGGTGTGCTTAGCGAGATCAAAGGTCTTCAGGCGCAGGTATTCCTGTTTTGGTTGAATATCGATGAAATCAGAGTTGATGTGCCAGCTACCAGCAATGTCTATTTCATACTTGGATCTATCAGTCAGACGCTTGATATCAAACAGTTTCAGACGATTCACCCTTGCAGAGATAACGCCCTTGCTGCATGTGATCATGCATCCAAACTTATCTCTCAGGTATGTATTTGTGACCGATCGATGGATCACATTCACACTTCATATAAATCGTTATGATTCAACAGTCTAATTGTAAACGCATTGTTTCATTTTGTGGAGTAACTAGTAATTATACATTTCAAAACACAAACACGTTGCATGCATTGATCCTTGATTTGTATTCACGAGTTTTATATTAGCAAAAAGGACTTACGAAATCAGTCAGATCTGGCGACATCAACTTCGTCATTGATTTGGTTTTATCCATGCCTAATTATTGCTCATAAATTTATGAAGGTTATGATTCACGTACGAAAAAATTCTGAGTTGATCACATGCCATCTAACATACATAAATCTTGTTTTTCTGATGGAAATCGTTGTTTTACAGCTTCCAATTACAGCAGAAGAAGTTGATAAGGTGATCATGGAGTAGAGGTTTTTGCATCGATCAAATCGAGATGTACTTTGAAGGTATCGTTGTGTTGCTATTTTGAAGATAAGAAGCCTAAAGGATTCAATTGTGTTTGTATGAATAAACTTCAGATTCCGATCCTGTTCTAAGAAATGTATGATGTTTTTGTTTGAAATTGGTTGTAAGTTTGATCAAGCAATGTGTTGCTACCGTCTCCTTCAATAATACTCTCCAAAACCATCTGCTTCTGTCCATCGTATTGCTTTTTATTCAAATTAATTAAATAATAATAATTACTATTATCATCCATTAATTTTATCCTTATACATATCAATATCAAGACTTGTTTTTTACATTTCTCATGTATGATTTGTCTACACGAATCCAAAAAAACATTTCCTATTTGAAGTTAGGCTTAAAACAATTATCGTTTTTTCTTATTTATGAAAGATATATATCAAAATTTATCTGTGTCTATTAATTAATAAAAAAATATTATTTGTTAGATATTTCATTTAATTAAATGTTTTTTAGACATAAATTAAATAAAAAAACTTTCTAACATAATAATAATTTTTTTTTCAAAATAGAAAATTAAAATTTATCATGATGACAAATGAATAACCAATTAACAACCACATATTTTCATTATTTTATACTTAATCTTTAATGATAGAAAGTATACAGTTTTAATAATTAATTAACCTATACAATTTAATAATTAAACTATATTAATTTAATAATTTCAAATATATTTTAATAATTAAACTATATTTAAAATTAAAAAATTGTAATTTTTTTTTGCAGAAACAAAGAAACGCATATAAACATTTTACATAAATTAACGACTAAGGTCTCTGAAAAGAATTATTAACAAGAGACGTCTCTATAATTTCATTTTTATAACAGATATGGTCTTTTCGTATAACTCCTTTAGTTAAGTTTTCATTAGTGAGGGGGCATTTTTGTCCATTCACCATCTTATTTCCTCAACTCTAATTTTCAATAACATGTATAATCATCCTTCAAGCTACTTTTCATTCTGTAATATATTTGGTCCTTCAAACTAATTTACATTATTATAACAGATTTGATTTCTCAAATTATTTTTTATTTTGTTGTCGGCTATGATAAAATAATTAAATATTTTTCATACAATTCGTTATTTCAATTTTTTTGTCATTATAGTTTTACTTTCTTACCAATTCGATTTTATTAGAAACGTCATTCAAATACAAGTTGTTGAATACCTCCTCTCACATGATAGTATTTTAATTCTTTTTTCTTCATTACGGACTAAATGATTATAAAATTATAGGACCAAACAATTAACAATATTAGACTATTTTTATCAAATAAATGTAGGCGATTTTATTAATAGAACATATGTTTTTATAAACTTATTGTAAGACATTTATATAAAAAATACATTTGTTTGATATAATTAAATAACTTATGAGACCAAACAGCTTTACATCCTATTAATAAAATTACATACATTTATTTGAAAAAAATAACCTAAAAATAGTTAATTGTTTGGTCCTGTAAAAAATAATGAAATATAATCTTTAATTTGGTATATAATGAAGAAAAAAAAATTAAAATACTCTTATATATATAAGAGGTACTCAACGGCTTGCACTTGAACGATGTTAGTGGCAAGAATCAAACTCATAAAAACTAAAATTATAATGACAAAAAATATTAAAAAAACTAGTTGTATCAAAAATATTTTAGTTATTTTATTATAAACAATAACAAAATTATATAATTTTATTATCTATCAATTTTTTTATAGAAAAAAAATATAGTTTTATTAAATCAAAAAGACAAAAATACCAGGAAAAAAGAACTAAAAAAAATATTTAATAAACCAAAAAAAGAAAAGAAAAAAAGATCAAAAAATTTAGAATGCCCCTAAGTGAATGGAAGACTTTTTACGTATTTAGTTTCAGGGATTAAAACAGTAATAAATTATTATTATTTTCATTAACCTGGATATCCAATCCGCTATGCGAACCGATTAATTTCAGGGAGACCACCTGCTTTGCAGATAACCCGAAGTCACCGCATATGAACATTCGTGGCCATAAGGGGATTTTTATTCTTCCTTATATTTGAATCTGAGACCTTCAGGTACTTTTGATATTTGGAGCCAAGTTCAAACCAAGCATGCACCACTCTTGTGGTTAAAAAACAATAATGAATTACAAACCATAGAGATGGAAAGTATAATCTGAAAATCAGAGGGATGAAAATCACAATCTTCTCAAACTGCAAGGACACAAATCGTAGTTTACTCTATTTTTTTATTATAAAAATAAATTTATTTTCATGTAAACTAAATTAACATGCTGATTAGATTAATTAAAAAATAATCCACGTGATAATAAAAAAAGCCATGTCATGCCAAATGGGAGTACAGTATTGGCTCGACGTTCAAACGTGGCGGCCATGTTATTTTAAGATACAGATTTCAAAATTATGCTTAATCCACTACCAAAAACAATCCATGTGCAGTCACCGTGTACCATGAGCATGACCACATTCCATATTTTAGGGCAAGGACAAAAAATCTCATTTAGTAGGAGCGAAGACAAGATTCAAGAGTTTTACACCTTAAGTAATGACCAAGGTTTTTACCATAGTCAGTGTTCACAAGGTAAATTGTTGTATATAATATCGTTTTAATGGACTAAAATTTTACCCCGTAAGTAAATAATAATGTTGAATTTTACCGGTAAGCATTTACCCGAGTAATTATCATACAAATGCATTTTATAGTCATTAGAAGGTCGTGGAGGAGATTGTCATTGAAGTTATACATTTATATATATATATATATAGGGGCAGGTTCAAATGAAACCGTCCAATTCTAAAAAACCGTGTAAACCAAATTCGACCAATAAGAAAATTCCATTTGTTTTCAATTAAATTTAATGAATAAGGGTATTTATGTCATTTTGTACATTTATTTAATAATTATGGTAGTTATTAATTCATATTATTTAAGGAAATCAAATAAAATAAATGTTGAAGAAAGGAAACGGGCCACAATTTAAGGATATTATATTAATAAAATCTCATTTTTAATGATTTGGTATTCAATGAATCATGAAACAAATAATGAAGATTTCATCAAATATATTGAAGAAACCGTGGGTTGCTGCTGGTGAGTGAAAAAAAAWATATTCATGAGACTCTATAAACATGAAGAGGTTTCATATGTGAATGACTTATTTGCTTCTTCAAAGCATATGGTATACCTCAATGAAACAGTGTCATGATGGAGAAAAAATTCATATTCTAAGTGATGCAAGATTCGTGAAATTTTTTCATTGTGTTCCGTATTGCTTTGTGTTTCAAGTTGATTCGTTTAAATGGTATAATGAAATGGGTTTATTAAAATGAAACAGTTTCATTTTCGTTACAAAATTTTTCATTTTATAATTGATTCAATATATAATAGTGAAACTGTTTCATTTTATTTAAAATGGAATTAATGATCATGCAACACTTTTGATATGCAAAGGTTTCATTACGGAATAGTTAGGCAAATAGGTTGATGTTGGTGAAATATTTTCATTTTATACTTGACTCGAGGTTGAATAACTTGTTTCATGATGAAACAGTTTTATTTGATTTTATATGAAATTAAGGTTCATTTAAATGTTCGATGTGCAAAGGTTTCATTACGAAATAGCTAATCAAATAGGTTGATGTTGGTDAAACATTTTCGTTTCATATTTGACTTGAGACTGAATAAGTAGTTTTCATGATGAAACAATTTTATTTCATTTTATATGAAATTAAGGTTCATGTAAATCATTAATGTGCAAAGATTTCATTAAAAAAAAAGTTAAGCAAATAGGTAAATGTTGGTGAAACAATTTCATTTCATTTAATATGCAATTAAGGTTCATGTAAATGTTCAAGGTGAAAATGTTTCATTACGAAATGAAAA